TGCTTGATGCAAGGGATGCTTTCCTGAAAGGCTGTTACTACTTTATGCTTTTGGCATTTTCTCTTAAAAGGAAAATAGAATGCATGATGAGAAACCTATGAAAAATGCATTTTAAACCTTTGTGTCTCCTACCAGATGTCCTTTATTTGCTATTAACTCCAGTACATTTCTGAAAGAAATCAATTTTGTTCGAGTAAGGGATCACGCCATGGTGTCTGACCTAGATGTCTCAATTTCAAGCAGTGTTATAAACTAATGGGATGAATTAAAAATATACACGATCAATCACAGATTCTTCCACTTGGTAATAGGCTTTTTTTTGCGTGAGAAAATTATATGTTGATATAATTTATGAATGGGAATATGGCCTATCTTTACATGACTTCGTATTTTTTATTATTACTTTTATTGGGTGCCCTTAACATCTCATCACAATCCATCCATTCCTTCAATGTGTCAATCACATTTGCCGCCATTTTCAAAGCATTCTCTTCCCACTTGAGCCCGATATCAGCTCCTCATTTCTTTCCCCTCCCTCCCCCACCCGGTAATCTGCTTTTTAAAGCATTATGAATTTGTACAGATAATCAATGTGGGAAGAAGGCGGGCTCCATTTGAGCCTGAGGCTTGGCCGCATCACACATACCAGTTCCCCACCCCCAACTTTCCCCTCGTTACCTGTACTCACCAGTGGGTTACAGAAAGCAGGGATGACCATGCTCCACTATCGGCAGCAGTAAGAGCAGCCGTCAGTTGGTGCACAGGGGTAAATCCTGCCGAGGTAGACTGTTCGAATGGAGCCCCTCTCCCCGTCGTCAATCCTGGAGGCAGTGTTTATAACCCAAACCAACCACACCGACTGCCACCGAGTCCATTCGGCCACTGTGGGTCTAGCCCGAGACACTAACGCTTTACAGGGGCACATCTTTCTTCTGCAGCGCGGCTGGTGGTTTGACCCAGCCTTGTGGTTAGCGCCCCAGTGCATAACCCACGACACCACCACAACCCTTTGGACGGACCCTACATGGGGGTCCTGAGGCTGTCAGTTTAACAGGAGTGGACAGCTTCATTAACCTCCTACAGAGCGGCTGGTGGTGTGAATGGCCGACCACACAGTCACACCCCCAGGGTTCCTCTGCAGTCAGTCGTGGGCACTGGAGGAAACAGACACACTCCCTACACCAAACTTGCCTTCAAGTGGATTCAACTCACATCCTGTAGAGCAGGGCAGAAGTGCCCATAAGGCTTCCAAGGCTGTAAATCATCATTTCCCAAAGTGGGTGGTGCTGCCCCTCGAGCAGTGTGGGAATTATTCAGGGGCTGCAAAAGCCGATATGGGCTATAGTACACGTTTTTAATTGTCAGGGGAGCACTGAATAATTTTGGTTCCTTCCAGAAAATATGTGTGGGCTTTACCTCAGCAACTTGGGAGACCTGGAGCACCTCTGCCCCAAGCTGGCTGTCCCAGCAAAGCTGTGCTCTCTGCTCCCAGTAGGCTTTAACACACGGCCATGTCCGTGCGTGAGGCTGCCTTTTCCCATCAGATGGTAGGTACCACAGAGACTCTCACAGGCCTTGAATTTTATTCTCAACATAAAGAACGAGGAGGGGGTTGAGGTTCTACACATACCAATTTCAGGCAGAAATCAGAAATGATCTGTTTTGCAGGGGTGGAATGGGGAGGGGGAGGCATTGAACAATTATATAGGAGCACTTTTACAAATCCCTATGGTAAAACTCATTACCTGCCATGATTATATAAACATTTTTAAAAAAGCAGTTTTTAATAAAAAGTTTGTCATTTATAAACAAATGTTGATGAACTCATCTGGGAATGCATGATTTATAAATATATAAAATGTTCACAGATAGGTTTACAATGGTAGGTATCTAGAAAAATAAAAAAGCCAATCCAGACTGCTTCCATTTCGTTCCTGACGCCTCGTGCGCTGTGTTGATAGGTGCAGGAGTCCTGAGACAGACGCTGGGGCAATAAATGTCCCATTTTCCTGGCCTCTTTTTCTGAGCGTGCAGCTACTGATGCAAATGGGATAGAGCTTCTACCTTAGTTTTGATGCTGAGGTAAAGGGGAGAAGAGAGTAGGTTATAGAGCTATGCAACTCAATAAATCAAATTCACCTTCCTAAGTTAAAATCTACTGTCCATATAGTAAGCAATCCATATTATAGCGTAGATGTTCTACTGCACACATTTTGGAGGCCAGAACCTAATTTTCTTGTCATCTGTGATGTATTAAAAAAAACACAAAAACATTGCCACCTATTCTATTCCAACCCCTAGAACCGTCCCAGGGGGGGTTTCCAGGCTGTAATCGTCCGAAGCAGACTTTCTCCCACAGCTGCCGAAGGGTTCAAACCACTGGCCTTTTGGTTAGTAGCTGAGCCTTTAGCCACTGTGCCACCAGGGTCCCCCGTGGTCTCTAAGTATTCACAACTTAAAGTGATAGCAGAAATACTTTAAATACGTTTTCCTGGCATGCTCTGCGACGAGGGCTCTAAAAGCAGAATCACGCAAACACGTAACGTAATGTTCTAAATTAAAAGTCGTTGAATTCAGGTAGTAATTCACAACATTTCACATTGAGTCAGGATATTTAGCTGTGAAGGTTATATATTTCTGGGTTTCACACTATTAGAAACTGTCAATGCATGTCTGCAAATAGTGGCAAGTTGAAGCAGATCTATTCTTTCTGGGTGCTCTCTAGCACCTTTGGGCTATTTAAACTTGGCTAGAGACAACTGCAAGCAGGGCGTGAAGAAATCACTTTGGCTGCCACCTGCCTTTGAATGGATTTCCTTAACATTCAGCAGTGAAGATGAACCAATCTGGGAGTCTTTTTAGTAATCAAGAGTTTTCAAGGTATGACCTGTTTTCTAGCTAAGCCAGCTTCTCCCGGGGCTTTTTGAAGGAGGTGAAAACAAGCTAAATTCTTCAACAAGAGCAAAAGAGAAGCCTCTTTTCCTTTTAGAAGCGGGTAGCACCATCCACAGGAACCACCAAAGTTGAAGAGCCCCTGAGCCATCTCTGGAGTTTGACAGAAGAAGCCGACAGCAGGGCAGCATTGGCCCTGACTCTGGCCCTCTGAGAACACCTTTCCCACAAGGCGTGGGCAGATGATGCGGCCATCCTGGCAGTACCGTCTGAGCCCACTAGACAGTGCGACCAGAGTCTGTGGAGTCAGACACAGCTTTCCTGCTGCTTCAATGTCTAGTGGATAAAGAGAAAAACGGGGGTCCCACTGAGCATTTACCGCAAGATACTAGACCTCCCCTGATTTAACCAATGCAACAAGTGGGTTTTTATTTATTTTAAACTTTATTTCAACCTTAGAATTTCAGCTCTTTCCATAAAGGGAACGGCAACTGCTTCAGATATCAGAGCTTGTTTAACACTGGTCATTATATTCAAAAGAAAACAGAACCCTTTGGGGTTTTGGGGCTCGGCTCAAGGGGAGTCCCTCTGGGACATGGGGGTACAGTGACTGGTGTGACCCTTTGCTGGGCACGCCTACACAGTAGGGTATGCTGGGCCCCTCTAGGGTTTCCCGTATGGGCTCCAATAAATTTCTTCCGTTTTGCTTAAAAAAAAACAAAAAAAAACACAGAACCAAACCCATTGCTGCCCAGTCAATGTTGCTGTGCAGTGACCCTAGAGGGCAGGGTGGAACTGTCCCCCACGGTTTCCAAGGCTGCAACCTTTACAGAAGTAGACCACAAGATGTCCTTCCCAAGGCGCAGCTGGTGCGTTTGAACTGCCCCTCCTCTTAGCTGAGACTGCTTACCCGCTGGATGCCCGGGCTCTCAGGCTCAAAAGAACCTCCTGAAAGGGAGACAAACTCCACTTCCTAACTTCTCTCTCACATTCCATACACAGACATCCCCATAGTGTCACTTCCCCTCTGGGGATAAAAATGCTCCGGAGAAAACGGACCAAGTCATTCATTAAGCTGACAACGTCTTTCTTTGAGCCAATAATGATAACTTCTTCTTCGTCAATCATTTCTTTCTCAACTAAGATCATCCCTCTGACAGTCATGGTAATGACACCCGTCTTGAATCAGCGGCTGCTTTTTGCTAATAATCCCTCATTAATCGGTAAACTGGTCAACCATGAAGACTGATATCATGTCTAGGAACCACTGTTAGAAAGTTGATACCATTTTCTGAATCTCTTTCAAAGGGAAAGCCATGCATTGCAACCGTCTGAGGAATCCCACCTTTCAGAAGCTGTGCGCCTCGATCTTTTCTCAGATCAAAACAGCGGAGAACGAAAACCAGGGTGGACAGACCACAGAGTCGTGCTCCCCTCAGAGCTGCAGAGTAGCCACAGAGTATTTAAAACCCTACTTTACAGAGCAGGTGATTCTAGGTCGTCCGTCATCACTGTCTGGTCTTGAGATTCCCAACAATGCCAGGTGATTCATTTCTAGTAGATAGCCGGCTTTAAAATCCAACTGAACTAAATTTAGAGCTAAGGATCGATTCTGGGCAGAACAACAACAGACGTTTTCAGGTATTGGCTTGACACCAGGTTTGGGTTTTTGTCTCTGGGCTGGCGAGGCTGCTGCACGCCCGCTAGCCGCCTCTTTTACATGCATATCCTCAGGGGAAGGGCAAAAGTACTTGCGAAGTTCCTGGGTCTCCAGTCGCCACCCCACAAGGGGGAAAGTAACTAAGCGTGGGGTCGCAAAAAACTTGGCAACAGTGAAAGGTTTCTGAACACGCGACAGCCAAAACCCAATTCAAAATCAAACGCCAACGAATCCCAGTGTTTGTGGCAGAGCTTGAGGGTGCTGCACGCGTGTGTCAGGCGGGAAAGGGTGGGGAGCAGACTAAAGTTTCAGAAGCCCTGACTCCAAGAGTCTTGACAACTAGCAAAATTCTGTGTGTCCTCTCCTAAGGAGCTCACTTTTCAGGACCCGCTGGCTTTCGTTTCAGGGGCATTGGCCGTTGACAATTAAACTTGGTTACTAAGGAGACATGACGGAAACCCTGCAGAACTGGAAACAGCTATGCTCTCTGGGTATTACTTCAGTCACATTCCCATCAGCAAGAGCAACTGGTGGAACAATGACAGTCTGGCCCCCGACTGGCATTTTTAAAAAGTCCCGATTTTTGGAAAGAATGCACAAGCTCGGGTATATGGTTTTCGGCAGCCATGTGGCTATTTCACCAGGATATGAGTTTTATCAATGGTGTCCCGCTGTACCAATGTTAAAATTTGGTCACCTTACGTTAGATACAAGGTTTTCTAGCAAGGGAAAATTTGGCCCTGACCCCATTTACTGAAGAACCAAGCAAAAAGCTCCAAACCCAATGCCCCTCGAAAAGCACATGCGGCGGAGTGCGTGTGCGTGTGTGAGATGCCACCAACGGGGCACCATGTGGCTGTCATACTGTAGTTACCTAGTCACGAAAAGGTTTATAGCACTTACAGGGAAACACAAGTGAAAGGGCTCAGGTCTTCTGGGCAGTTACCACGAGCATTCAAAAGAGCAGTACCCTCTCCACTAAGGAGGGGCGGCACCCCTGCTATTTCATTCAATGCACTGAGCTGTCCCATTTACCTTCTTCATTAATTCGCTTCTGGTTGTAAACTGTGGCAGATCTTCCACTTCAATCCCATCAGCCATTTCCATCACCTTGTCTAAAAGGTCTTTGTTGTAACTGCACAAGAAAGAGCAGGAAGGTAAAAGTCTTGGAAGAATTCTCAGTGTGGATTAATTTGAAACTGCAGTCTGCTGGGGGGAAAATTCAACTCGCCAAGGCCTGATATGACACACCTGATTTGAAACTTAGTGTCTGTTCAGCAGACGGTTAGGCGATAATTCTTCTGCTTGTGGATGCTATGTGGGCTTTTGGATGCCAAGAGAAGCAGTTGTTTTGATATATACCAAAAACAAAGGCCCCATTTACAATTTTTTAAAGTTATAAAAAATAAATGAATAAAGGTACCATATGTCAGGCAGTACCTATTGTTGGATATGGTGTGAGAGGGTCCAAAAGTTTTTTAAAAAAGGATTGTTAATCAAATAATGGCATTATTTGCTCATTTTCCCAATTCTCAATGTCATTTCTCTAACTTTGGATAAATCCTGTTACCTAGGGAAGCTGGGCGCTAGAGAGAAGGAATGGATGAACTCCTTTTCCAAATCCTGCCCTAACGACCCCCAACTTCTAAACACAGTGTAGTAGCTTAGGCCTAGTGAGGCCATGTAGCCAGTCAGGACGCAGCCAAAAAGGAAGAGGCAGGAGCCATGCTATCATCGTAATAAAATCTGAATACGTTCTAAAATGGTGTGGGGAGTCCCCACATTTGCCACCTTCTAATGGTGAGCTATAAAACCAAAAACCAAATCCCTTGCCGTCAAGGCAATTCCAAACTCACAGTGACCCTACAGAGATGGGCAGAATAGGCCCCAGGGGTTTTCCAAAGCTCGGAATCTTCACAGAAGCCCACTGCCACGCCTCTCTCCCACAGGGGGCCTGTTGTTTGGGGTGAACAGCTGAGCGCTTAAGCACCGTGCCACCACGCTCCCTGGGAGGGTATAAAACCAACCCATGCTGATACTAACTCAGTGACCCTAAAGAATACAGAACGCATTCATGGGGTCCAATCTCGTAAATCTTCACAGAAGCAGACTCCAGGCCTCCGGTGGGGCATGGGGGTTGCCTTAGTCGGCACTTCCAACCAAAGGAGGTTCTTGTCCTCTTGGTACAACAACCAGCACGCTGTGGGCTTTGGCCTTTGTCAAAAAGGCACCTGCTGATTTTCATAGAAGGAGCGGCAGGCAGGTAAGATTGGCTCCCGCTCAGCCCAGCAGGTTGGGGGTTAGAACAGTCAAGGGATGCTGATTCTACCTTGGCGGCACAAGGGTTATGCATTGGGCTGGGATCCGAAAAGCCAGCAGTGCAAAACCATCAGCTGCTCTGTGGCAGAGAGACGGGGCTTCCACCACGGGAAAGTGCAACCCACAGGGCCAGTTCCACCCTGTCCGGCGGGGTCGCCATCGACTCGATGGCAGGGAGGTGGTTAAGTACCAGTACCCACCTATCCTGGCAAAAGCGGCATGGCCCCGGCGTCTCACCGGCCCCGGCCCCCGCCCCCTTAGCAGTCAATCGGGTTGGCGTGCCTGTCCCTGCGTTGTTACCGTGGACGTTAAAGGAGCTACTCGCCCCGTACCAGGGACGGCTTGGGCGAATAGCAGGCATGAAGGCGACGTCAGCGTCTACACTGTCGGACGGCAGCCCTGGGCTGAGTGCTTTCCACCCTTTAGTGCCGTCGTCGTCAAACCAACGCATTTCCCAACAGACAACACTGCGGGTCGGGGAAGGAAGTCTCTCGCAGGCACCGTCCGGGTGGGCAGCAGCCGCGGGCCGGGCCAGGTGGGGCAGAGCAGCGATTCAGACCCAGCCCTGGAGGTGGGCGCTGGGTCGGAGGCGGGCGGCGGGGCCCCCCGCCCAGGCTGGGGTCCGCACCTGCAGCCCAAGAAGAGGTGGTTAGCCCAAACCATGGAGAGGGACAGCAGCTGGTCCAGGCGGCCGCTGCCGTCGGGCGGATCGCGGTAGTCTGGCAGGTGGCGCAAGATGAACTCCATCCGGGCCTTCCATTGCTTCTCGCTCTCCGAGTAGGCGCGGAACTGCTCCGCGAAGTCGGCCGCCTGACGCACCCCAGACACCAGTTCCTCCACCGCCGAGGCCGCCTCGCCACCCACCATGGCGTCCGCCGCCGCCGAGGGCCGTACCCGCCCTCCGCCTTCCCGACGCGCACCGCGCTACGACGCGACGGCTAGAAGGGCCCCGCAGTGCACGACTGCTCTGGAGGACCTGCCTGGAGCGCCCTCGCGCGGAGCGGCGGGCCGGAGCCAGCCGGCCAAGCCCGGACCCTGGGACCTCTTTAGCGGCAGGCGGCTGACACCAGTCCACCCAGACGCCGCAGGGGCGGCGTCCCGCGGGGCATAAGAGAGAAACTGAGGCCCGCACGCCCGGGCTCGGGCCGCCTCGCCCCCTCCCCTGAGTTGATCAGCCTCGTGACATTCAGAACTACGGTGCAGCTTCATTCCCTGGGGGATGCTCAGGCTCCGCTTCATCCTGGGCGACTTCAGGGGTCCCGGCCAGAGAGAGACGAGTCAGTCCCGGGGTCTTAGGCCTGTGGGCGTCTGGGGGTCCGTCTTAGATCGATTATCAATGGTCTCAAACACCCCCTACGTCCCCCACCCCCGGCTTGTGGCGCGCCTTCCTGGAGCGAGTCTCCATCCATTCAGCTAACCAAGAAATTCTTGCCAGGCAATTTGCAAGGACAAATTGGATGGACATGCGTTATGAGTAAACTCCGAATCCTGCTGTCATGCGATTTACGATCTAGTCTGGGAAGCCGATATTAGTGAAATAATTGCGGGAATAAGTGGAAAATGGTGACTGTGACGAGTATTCATAAGAGTGCCGTGAGTGGGAATGAACAAAGGATTGAATCCAGCCTCAGTCAGGGAAGAAGCAGCGCTGGAGAGCTGAACCATCGTGCAGGAGCTACCTACGAGGAGAAGAGCCGGACCTGGTAAGAGACCAGAAAGATCTGTGTACCTGAGTCCTAGGGAGGCAGGGAGAGTGAAGGACGCGCACCGAAAACAGGCTGCTGAGGGCTGTCTGCAGAGCCACTGAACCACTGGCCCACAGGGATTGTGGTCTGAACCCCTGGGGGAATGGAGAGTTGATGAAGGGTTCTAACCAGAGAAGTGACATCTGTGTTTCCAAAAGATACCGGAGGGAGCCGGAATACATGTCTTCAGAGGAAGCAAGTGGAGGGGCTGAAGGTTATTTACTGTTACTGGCTGTCAGTTTGGGGGCCCCCCAGGAGTAGACCCCCTAAGAGACAGAAGGATGTCGTAGTCAGTGGTGAGCTCACGCTCCTTTAGAGCAGGGGTTCTCCACCCTCCGCATGCCGTGACTCTTTCACACAGTTCCTCATGTGGTGGTGACCCCCAACCACAAAATTATTTTCGTTGCTACTTCATAACTGTCATTTTGCTACTGTGATGAATCGGGTGACCCCTGTGGAAAGGGTCGTTCGACACCCAAAGGGGTCACAACCCACAGGTTGAGAACTGTTGCTTTAGAACATGAAATACAATAGCAAAGAAAATCATTTGACTATAGGTCTAGAGAGATTGTGGGCCTGATAGACCTCCCCACAGTACCGCATCCATTGTATGATCGGTTATACAGAGATGGGCCTAGAATCCAGGATCTAGGGCTCCGCTGTCCAAGCCCTATATTGTGAGTGGGGCCCTGAGGAGAAGCCAACCGTGTGCTCTCTGCCGTTTCTGCAGCTTCTGTTGGGGGTTTGGGGCCCCAGTAGACAGAAACCAGATACATCTTAGAAATAACAAGTGTTTGAGCAGGAGGCTGTGCCTCGAGACCCACTCCCAGGCCCAGTCTCAGCTCCATCACCATCCTTTACAGCTGACAGTAGGGATGCATTCTACTCAGTTGCCAGGGAGAGCACGTGCTGGGTCCGTGGCACCAGGAACAGACCTCACTTCTGGCAATTAGCAATCGGGTCGGAGCTGGAATTCCCCAAACTGAACACAGACCGCATCTCCTGAGGTGCCTATTAAAATAGCAGATTCCACGTAGCTGAACCTTGAAAATGTGTATGCTAAGTGAAATACGGGGAGTAAGCATATATAGAGACCAAAGTTTATTAGTGGCTGTCAATGGTTACAGGTTGGGCTGCTGTCCTCAAGGTCAACGGTTCAAAACCACCAGCCACTCCTCGGGAGGCAGACAAGGCTTCTGCTCCTAAAAAGAGTTCCAGTCTTGGAAAGCTACAGAAGCAGCTCTTACTTACCAAGCATGATGTTCTTCTCCAGGGACTGGTCTCTCCTGACAACCCGTCCAAATTACCTGGACTGAAATCTCACCATCCTCACCTCCAAGGACCTGGCTGTTTTTCTTCCAAGACAGATTTGTTTGTTCTTCTGGGAGTCCATGGTACTTTCAACACCATAATTTAAAGACATCGATTCTTCGTTGGTCTTCCTCACCGAATTGACCTGACAGCAACGAGTTTTATGGAGTTGTGGTCCACACTGAAGGCTGTAGTTCTTGCTCTTCATCAGCAAGTGCTTCAAGCCCTCCTCACCTCCAGCAAGCTAGGAGATAATTAAATACCCAGCAAAAGAATGAAACTGGACCCCTACTTCACCCTATGTACAAAAATTGACTCAAAATGAATCAAACACATGAATGTAAGAATTAAAAGCATAAAGATTTTAGAAGAAAACATAACTATAAATCTTCACAACTTCAAATTAGTCAATGGTTTCTTAGATATGATACCAAAAGCACAAGCAACCAAGGGAAAACATAAGGTTTCACGGAAATTAAAAATGTTTATATTTCAAATAACACTATAAAGAATGTGAAGAAAAAAAAAAGAATGTGAAAAGACAGCCCAATAGGATGGGAGAGTCATCTAGCTAATAAAGCTTAGAATTCAGAATAGATAAAGAAATCTGACAACTCAACAATAAAAAGCAACCCATTTTCTAAAACGGGCAAAGGATTTAAATAGCCATGTCTTCAAAGAAGATATCAAAATGGCCAACAAACACCTGAAAAGATGCTCAATATCATTAGGCATTAGGAAAATGTCAATCAGAGCCACAATGAGATACCACTTCACACTCACTGAGCACACCAAATCACTGCCAGAACCAAGTGCAACTCAGTGACTCTAGATAGGGTTTTCTGAGACTGGAATTACGTATATATTATAGAGAGACAGATAGAGAGAGACTAATTATTTATGGAAGCAGGCAGCTTCATCTCATGGAGCAGTTGGTGGTTTTGAACGGCCAACCTTGAGATTAGCAAACCCATACCTAACACCCAGCATCCCCAGGGTTCGTTCCCTCACGCTCATTAGGATGGCTGTACTAAAAGGAGGGGAGGAGGAGGAAAATAACAAGTTTTGCAGATAATGTAGAGAAACTGGAAACATCGCTCACTGCTAGAGAGATTAGAACAGTGTAGTCTCCATGGAAAATAGACTGTTCCTCAAAACGTTACACAAACACCAATGCTTCCCCAGCAGTGGCCAACGTGTCCACTTCCACACATCTGACCAAGAGAATTGAAAACATAAATCCACACAAAAACTTGTCCATGAATGGTCATAAAGGCCTTATTCATAATCGTCAAAAGGAAACAAATACACACCCGCTGCCGACTGGACAAACAGAGTGTGGTGTATTTGTAGAAGGACATCATTATTCGGTCATAGAAAGAAATGAAATGCTGCTTCCTGGTACTACATAGGCGAACCTTGAAAACAGGCTCAGTGCCAGAGGTCGGAAACAAATAGGCCCAATAGGGTTTGATTCTATTTTCATGAAAAGTTCAGAATAGGAAACCCGCAAAGACAAAAGGGCGACTAAGTGGTTGCCAGGGGCTGGAGGAAATGGGGAGCCTCTGAAAAAATGGCTGCTCCTTCATTCGTGTTGACGTTTGCACGAACCTGTCAGGACACTGACGCCATTGAATTGTACATTTATATGAATTTGACAGCATATGAATTATAGTTCAATACAGATGAGGCAGAAAAATATGGCCTAGATACCCTCTCCTCCCTATATCTTTTTATCTGATATTTCCAATTTGTGATAATAGTGAGAAATCTACTATCTGACTTTTTTTTTTTTGCGTTAGCTATTTACATCTGATAATAACGGTAACCACTGTGTAAAGTGAGCGTCACATTGCCTACGATGGGTAAGGTTGTGTGTCCCCTGGGCTGGGCCATGATTCTCGGTGATGTTGGCAGTTATGAAAGGATGGAATTGGGCCCTGTGTCATGCTCTCCTGTGGCGGCTCCACGATGACTCCGTTGTCCTCCATTTTTTCCTCATTACTTTCACATTGTGACCCGGTCTTTGGCACCGAACCGTGCAGAGAGGGTGCATCACTCTACGGAAATCGGAACCATTTAAACGATTCCGAAACAGTGAAGTGGGTAGGAATTGGACTTGCTGCAGGGTAAATGCTAACAATTTCATATTACTAAAAACAAGGCTATCTGTTGATGGATTGGGGGGTTCTTATGACCTGTAGGCATGCTCGAATGTGTATAAGTATGGACACAGTTGCCCCATCAGAGTCAAAAGTGATGCTAAATGAGGTAGTTGCTGGGTGATCCCAGAGGTGTTCACATCTCCAAGATGGAATGGACCGTGCAGCTGCAGCTGCTGTGCAGAGCGCACTCATGGTCCTGCTTAGAACAGGTGCTCACACCAGATCCAAACAGCAGAGTTCTGGCTTCTTCGTTTGTACCATGGACTGGCAGAAGAACAAACAAAATTATCTTAGAAGAAGTGCAGCCAGAATGCTCCTTAGAAGCAAGGATGGGGAGATTTCATATCATGCACTTTGGACATGTTCTCAGGAGAGACCAGTCCCTGGAGAAGGACATCCTGCTTGGTAAAGTAGGGGGGCCGTCAAAAAGGAAAAAGACCCTTAGTGGGATGGACTGACACAGGGCTGCAACAACGGGCTCAAACAGAACAACAACTGTGAGGGCGGTGCAGGACCAGGAGGAGCTTCCTTGTGCTGTGCACAGCAGGCTGTGACTTGGAACACCCTGGAGAGCACTGAACAGGAACAGCATGCGGTTGTCTCCCGGTTACCATTTGTGGAAAAGCCTCTTCTTTCGCCAATGAATGG